GGGGGTGCAGGTAATAAAGAAACGTGCGCGAATCCAACGCAGGGGAGAGAGAAAGCGAGCGAGGGTGAGTTAAATTTCGAACGTGACGCCTCGCGAGAGTGGAAGAGCTAACCGAATGATAAATACGGCTTATTAACGTGATGCATTTTGGAAAAATATTTAATTTGCTTTGCTAATCTCGCTTTTACGGGGGGGATTTATCGCACCTCGGCGCGGAGACCACACAAGACGAGGAAGTAACGAGGCCCCCGATTGGCCGAGCCGCGGGTCCGCCCCCCGACGAGGGGCGTGGCCGGAGCGGGCCCCGGGAATGGCCCCCCTCCTCCGCGGGCCCAGACGGCGCTGGGCCCAGGATGCGGCCGCCCTGGCAGTAGGCATCGATCGTTTCCGCTTATCGCCCGCTTTTATTCAGTGCCCGTGTTTTTGACCCGCAGAGGGGGTGGGGGGCCAAACTTTCTTGACCCCGCCCTCGCACCCGCGCCGCCATCGTGTCTACCCCTGGCCCGGCGGGATTTTTTCGGACCCGTGATTTCGGCGCCTTTCACCGGGGGAAATTTCGGACCGTCCCTAATTTCCGAAACTTCCAGTGCGTGTACGATCTTCGGAAAGTTTTTTTTCAACCGGACTTTACGAATCCCTTCCGAATGACGATTGAATTTCTGGTGTCGGTCCCGTAATCTTAAAGTGCGCTAGTTGTTGTTTCTCAAAGAAGAAGACATTTCGTCGCAGGGCTTAGTGTTATCCGCGAACTTTAACCGTATCCTTCGATTTAAAAGTGGGGATGACATTCGAGTAAAACGAAATAAATAAGTAATGAAGTCTAGTCTTTTTCCTACCCACAGTTCCGTATTAAGTTTTTAGTTTAATTTCATTATCGTCTGTTACGAGTGCAAAGTATTTTTGCCCCTGAGAATCGAATTAGTTTTATGTGCCCGAAACAAAGCGAACGGAAAAATCAACGAAAATCCTGTTTCGTGTTCCTCATTTACCGTTCTCCGATCGCGTAAGTGATCTCTCGGAATCAACTTTAACCGTGCTTTGTAAACACTCATCAAGGAAAATTATTGTTTGCCGTTTCGCTGTGTCCTAGAAAACACACCGGTAAGACCTGATTCGTTCCGTGGCGCAATTTTAGGAGCATTCACTTCGCCGAAAATAAATAAAACCAATTTTTCGTCAGCCTAGATTTCATCAAGAAATTTTCCAGCCCCCGATCGCATGTGTAATCCCTCAAAATCAACTTCAACAAATACAATTTTTCTGCATCACTGTGTCGTGAAAAACATCCACAGAATTTGCCACGCTAAAAATAACTGAATCCAGTTTTAACCTTGGACTGAATTTCGTCGAAATGTCGTTTTAGCATCCGAACGCAAGATCCGACATGCGGAAAGTATTTTTACAATTTCAGTGAACAAATTTCAATTTCATAAAGTCTACAAAGGTTTCGGCTCATACTTAACCTTCGTACGGAAGAGCTGTCGAAAAGGAGTTTTGCGCCGAGAGCTGAAAATCCAAGTACCCCCAAGACCAGATTTTATTCGAAGGTGATTTTAGCTCCCAAACGCGAGATTGGTTATAAAATGTGGGAAGCAACCGTATTTTCATGATTTTAACTCTTGAGAACTAAGCTTGAAGGGATTTTTAATATCTCTGTACGGAATATCTCTGTTTATATCTCTGTACGGAAGAGTGTTTGCCCAATGCTGACGAGCGAAAGGACGGACTTCCCGCGGCTGCAGCGGCAGAGACTCTTCGAGATCATCGACACGATCTCCCGGGAGCGCGAGATGACCTGCGGCGTGACCTCCGACCCGAGGACCTTCCGCGACGTCCACAGCCCGTCCTCGACGACCGGGAGCGACGAGACTGCCAGTTCCGTCGACGTGGACAACGACGACGATGACGTGAGTGTCGGCTGCGAGTCGCCGCCCCCGGGGGGCAAGCAACCCTTCGGCAAGCAACCCTTCGGCAAGCAACCCTTCGGCCAGGTCATCTCCACCATGAGCCAGAGCCTCAAGTTCAGCATCGCCAACATCCTCCGGCCCGAGTTCGGAGGGGCGCCCCTGCGAAGGGCCCCCGCACCGGCGGCGCCCCCCAGGACGGGCAAGTGCTCGCCCATCGACCTCTCCAAAGAGGCGCCCCTCCCGGCGCCGGCTTCGCCGGCGCCCTCGGCCTCCCCGGAGGCCTCCGCCAATGAGAACTCGAAGATGTGGCCCGCTTGGGTCTATTGCACCCGCTACTCCGACAGACCCTCCTCAGGTAAGACTCGTTGGAATTGTAACAGTGTGACGTTTAGGCCTTGTCTCCACGGGACGTTTCATGGGATTCATCCCTGGGACAAATGGACTACATTTTGCAATTTGGAACTATAAATTCTGGCTCCTCTGGAAAAACACTTATGTGCGTAGGGAAACTAATGGCACATGCGTTGTTTTTTAACCGGGCTAGAATTTATAGTTCCAAATTGCAAAATGTAGTCCAAATCTCACTTGCAAAGTTGGGAAAAATATTGAGTTAGTCAATACTAATCCACTGGAAAAAAAATATCTCGGTGTATTTACTAAGAAAAGGGTAAAATTACCAAGAATTCAGGGTTCTATTTGATCCCAGTTTTTTCTTGGTAAAATTACCAATTATGGAATTGGTAATTTTACCGAGAAATCTTGATAAAATTATTGACTTTCTCGGTAATTTTACTGGACCCCGGTAAAATCGCCAATATTTTTTATCGACTGTGGTAGAATTACCGAGATAAAATGGCAAAGTTACCGGGAATTGATTACCAATAAAAGAGGTATTCTTACCTGAGAAAAACAGTAAAAATGCCGGTTTTTAGGTAAACTTACCCGTCGGTCTTGGTAAAATTACCAATAATTGGTAAAAAAAGTCAGATGGTAAAGGTACCAACGGACCTTGGTAAAAATGCCGAGAATTTTTTTCCAGTGTGACGTTTACTGCCGTGCTAAGGGAGAACGCCGTATAAGCCTTCAGACGTTGCCAAGTTTCTTTCGATAAATAGTGAGTTTATTAGGAAAATTCTGAATATGTTTTCCCCAAAATTTTGAGACATTTTTGCACGCAATTCAATCTAAAATATCTGAAAATTTCGATGAAAAATATGCACGAATGTCGTCAAAAATACGTGTTTTATCGAGGGAAATTTGTCAACTCTCGAATGTTCATACGGGGTTCTTCCTCAGCACGGCAGTTTAGGCCTTGTCTCTACGGGACGTTTCATAGATCTGTCCATGGGAAAAATCTCACTTGCGAAGTTGGGAAAAATAGTTAGTCGACACTAATCATAATGCCTATTAAGAGTCCTTGTGGAGTCCCAGGAACGGTTTAAAAAAAAACAAGGAGAAGAAATTTTGTCGTGTTGTTTCATGGGAAAAAAGCCCAGAAATTGCATTCCTGCGACTTGAACTTGAGAGGAATATCGTGAAACGTTCCTTGGTGACAAGGCGTTAGAATCAGTGAAGTCATCGTTTTCCGGACGAAAGAGCGTAGCTACACTCCAAGGTTGCAAAATTGTCTCAAGCAATTCAGTTCAATAAATTGGGAAGGAATTAAAACATGAGTAAACAAGGCTAAAAAATTAAAAGGCAGGACGTTTCGGGCTGTTACCAGCTCATTTTCAGCTGCAAAAAACACACAAAATAAATACAAAATTGAGCGATGACCATGTTTTATTTCCCTCCCTGTTTCACGGAAAAAAATTGCGCGTTGATTCAGCATTAATACTGTTGAAACAAGGTGCGACAAGTATCAAATGCTGATTTTACATTAAAAAATGTGTTAATTCAACACTGAATTTGTTAATTCAACACTGAATTTGTTTTTTTAACCGTGGACGTAGTTAATCTATTCATTTTTTATTGCAAAATCAGCATTTATATACTTGTCGCACATTTCTTTGACATTATAAATGTTGAAGCAACATTCAATATTTTTCCGTGTTATTCTTATAATAATCGGAATATGTTTCCGTGCTTTACCACAATTCAGTTCTTAACAAAATTATACCTGTGCAATTTTTGTATAACATTTTTGTCTGATTTTTCTGCTACATCAAAAGAAAAATCAGTATAATTTTCAGATTAAGATGCCCGAGATTCTCCTGATAAAAATACAACTGAGGCGTTAGTTGCAGAAAAGGCATATCGTAGTTGCGAAGTCTCTGGCTCTCCACCGCTAATATATATTTTAGTGTAGTAAACTATACGTGAATTTTCTGAAATCTTTCGTTTCCAGCATTGTAAAACCATATAGAAAATTCAGCAAAAGTTTCAACGAATTCCATACATTTGCTTTTATTATAATCGATGAAACTTTAGCAAAGATTCTGAGAAACCGCAACCAAGAAATGCCCTTTCTGCACCCAGCGCTCCTGCTAAAAATGCAATTGAGGCGTTAGTTGCAGAAAGGGCATATCGTAGTTGCGGTGTCTCTGGCTCTCCACCGCTAATATATATTTTAGCGTAGTAAACTATACGTGAATTTTCTGAAATCTTTAGTTTTCAGCGTTGTAAAACCATATAGAAAATGTAGAAAAAGTTTCAAGGAATTCCATACATTTGCTTTCATTATAATCGATGAAACTTTAGCAAAGATTCCAAGAAACCGCTACCAAGAATTGCCTTTTCTGCACCCAGCGCTTCAACTTGCGAAGGGAAATTTGGCAACATTGAAATCTAGTTACGTTCTTTCGTGATGGGAAAGACGAAGTGAGTTAATGGAAAAGGTCGGACACAATGTGGAAAATGTAAAAGTTTATATCTTCGTCAATGAGAAACGTAAAAGTTTGAATTGGGTTCATTGGTGTCCCCATAGAATTTCCCTGTATAATTCATAACGTTACACAATAAACATTGAAATTTTTAGTTTTAGTAAAAAACTTCATGCCTTAATTGCCTGACTTATCTAATTGACTTGCTCCTTTGCGCAATAGTGAAACTTCAAAAATGCGTATCTTGTTTGTGATGTCTCAAAATTTTTGCTCTCGTAAATTTGAAAGAGGGTGTTTGATATCTGTGTATTATATTTACAACTGTACATTGCCATTTGAGCAGAAAACATATAGCATAGCAATATAGTATCAAAATCGTCGAATGAAGTCGAGCAGAATTTATCTCGAAGGCACGATTTAAAGGAGACACAAGACACAAATCCTCGGATAGATAACCATTATTGCACGGAGGATGTTATTTGGCCTACCCTAGAAATTGAAGGCAAAATAGCGACGTGTCCCTCTTCGTGTCGATATTGTTTCCCAGTCTCTCTAAATTTTCATTCTGAGAACGCCACTGAACAAACCGACACTATTTCTTGCAATTTTCAGAGAATATTCTACACACGGAGAAGTAATATTCAGTAAAGTTTTCAAGAAATGACATGGAGGATTTTCACATTTGAAAAATAAAAAACGGTAGTAAGTCTGCAACGCCGTTAACCGAAATTGGCACTTTCACCATTAATTGAACTATACTTAGCAATTAGGAACTATAATTTCTTGCTCAGTTTAAAAAGAAGCTAATGTACATGCATATGTGTTGATGAGCCGGAAATTGAAGTTCCTAGTCGCAAAATGTAGTCCATATTAATTGTAGGACCGAGTAGACTTATAGCCTGGATTTTGTTCCCCGGGAGGAAGGTTGAGTATTCGTAGTTGTATACTCGGGGGAAAATGATGGACTAGCCATAGGGTCTCTTGTGGGTTGCCGTTAGTTAGTCTATTACTTATCTACTTCGTCTATCGTAACCGTCCGCTTCCACCAATAGGGTCGCCTCATTAACTCTATGTCCTCTTCGTCTATAGCTTTGCCGCGGACATTTTCAATAACCAGCCAGCTGTATGGTAAATCCCGCACAGTTATGAGACAACTAAACCCCGTATTTTGGTTTACGGTGACGCAAATTACTTTTTTAAAAGTATGACATATAGTGTTTTGCAACCTTGGAGTGGAGAAAGGGTCCACCCCAAATAACTGCACGTGCTTTCGAAATGCGGTAGATCAGTCTTCAGTTTAACATTGAAAGCAAATACAATAAGAATCTAGATGACGGTTCTTCTATTGCACTCTAAAAGTGCGTAAACTTATTTTGCATGGATTCTACGTTCCTTTCATCCAAGGAACGACGATCTTATTAATCTTCAACAGAAAAACAACCTGAGAGTTTTCTCCAAGCTGAAGCAAGTGCGTTTCCTTCGGAAAAAAGAGGGATGAATTCGTTGTCGTCGTCGTTTCACATTCAAAAGAACGTAACTCCATTCCATTGTTGCCAAATTTTCTCTCGCAAATTGCAATTTTAAGAGGCGAATCTTGGGCATGTTTAACTGAAAATTTCACTGATTCTCGCTCTGATCTCATGCAAAAGTGAGTAAAATTTTGGACGGATATTGCACGGGTGTATTCTTGTAAAAAATTGAATTTTTTGAATCAATTCGGCAACCTTGGAATCAAGTTACGTTCCTTCGTTTGAGGAACGACGGATTGTGAGGTTTATTAAGAGAGCGGGGCTTTGGAAAGGCGAATTGTTAAATCAATAACGTCTGACAAGAATAACTGACGTGCTGAATTCGTTGACTCTATCGAGGAGAGTCGATTGAAATCAACATTTCAATATCTCCACGCGTTCACTTCGCATCGTGCTTGTGCAGCCCTGCCAGACAAATCGTTTCATTTTCATGTTCTGCGCCCCTGGTTCCTCCAGACATTTCATTCGAGGACGACGTAGACTAGGCGTAGCAAGTTCATTTATTTTTTTTTTTGTTTGTTTTTTTTTGTTTTTTTTTGNGAGAGAGGGGGGGAGAGGGGGGAGGGGGAGAGAGAGAGAGAGAGAGAGAGAGAAGAGACGGAATTCAAATAAAACGAGAGCCGATATTAACATTTTAAAATGTTTAAAACTTCACAAGATTCGTCAATCGGATCTTGGAATCCTTAACTAAAATTCAGAAGTACGAAAAGCTCCGGACGGTCACAGTATTCATATACATGACAAAAGTTTGCCGTTGTTTTTTTTTGGGGGGGGGGGGGGGTAGGGGACAAAGAGTAGCAGCTTTGACCGAATGCAGCGGCTTAATCTAAGCAGATATATGTATGTAAATCTCAAGAAGATTTTCTCCCGAATCAAGGTTAGAATCGCTGGAATCAAGGAGGTCTCTACTTTTTACAAGTGACTTAATTTTTTTTATTGAAGGTATATGTACTTTTTTTCTTAAAAACATGATTTCCGTGCCGGAAGTCTAAGATCCAGAAAAA